TAAATAGCACCAGCGGGAAATCGCTGGTAGAGCCTTTGCGAACTCAAGAGGGGGTGATGGAAACAAAATCAAAGTAGAAGGTTGTTGCAATTACAGGCAAGCGTGGTTTCACGAAAGCGCGAGCAACAACGCACAGACAACCGTAGTCCCCAATCGCCGCCAAGCGGCTCAGTTTGCGCCTTGATCAGCAGTTGTGCCGGGATGCGCTCACAAAAGGGGCATGAGATGTCTAAAAGAAAAATTGTCGAAACAGCGCGGATTCCACTGAAGGATGGCAACCGCGCACCAGCCTTGTCAATCTGGTGCAAGATTGGGAAAGGGTGCCACGCACTCGATCCGAACAGATATCATTTGAAGTGCCTATGCTGCTGCAGACTTCAATGCGAACGTATTTCTACGAACAGTGAGCAGCAGCAGCTGCAGAGAGAGGGTGGGGGAGATTCGAAGAGACGGGAGGGGAGGGGATGATTCGACGGGGAGGGGGAGGAAGGGGGGAGGGGGAGGGGGAGGGAAGGGATCATGAGGTGGAGGGGGGGGGAGGGGGAGGGGGAGGGGATGCTGAGGAAGGGAGGGGATGCTGAGGAGGGGGAGGGGATGCTGAGGAGAGGGGAGGGGAGGGGAGGTGAGGGGGAGAGGGGATGGGGATGATGAGGGAGAGGTGGCGGGGGAGGGGGAGGAGGAGTCGGAGGGGGAGGAGGGGGAGGGGATGCCGAGGAGGGGGGGGACAGGGGAGCCAGACCCCGCTTGCAGGAGGGGGCGCAGCTGCGGAGGCCGAGGTCTGCAGGACCACGCCCGCGCGAGGAGCTTGCGCCGAGCGCCCCTCTCGCAGGCCACGGGAGAGCCAAAACAACGGCATAAGCATAAACGTTTGGACCGGGACGATCGACATTGGTACGGAAAGAATGGGTACGATGCCCAACCGCAGTTCTTCCTTACAGTCGGGGCGTTGACCCAAGGAACCCTAAATAAGGAACGAGGCCCCTTTTTTCCATAAGTTATACTTCAATTTCCGATCGAAAACATAAAGAAAACCTGAGGCATGCTATGAAACACATAAGGAACACGGAGCCCCTTCCCAACGAAAAGGGTTCCTTCTTCAGGGCCCCGACTATACTTTGAACCGGATTTGTTGTCCGCGCCGCTGCGGACGCTGCTCGCTGAAGGCAAGAAGCCGCCTGCCCAACAGCGGCCGCTGCCGGTTCTGGACAGCATTTGTTGTTGGGCATTGTGCCCATGTCTTCCGGACCCATTTCGGGCGTCCGGATTTGAGGGGCCTGCATTCCACCACCACCATCACCAGAAGTTGGAGGGGGGAAGGAGGTGGAGGAGGAGGAGGAGAAGGAGGAGGAGGACGAGGAGGAGGAGGAGGACCCCCTCCCCATCCGACTTATGGTGGTGGTGGTGGTGGTGGTGGTGGTGGTGGTGGTGGTGGTGGTGGTGGTGGAAAACGGCCCCTCAAGATTGGAGGTCCGCGGGGAGTTCTCGGATCCGTGCCGGACCCCCCCCTCTGGCGCGACGAAGCGCGCCAGAGCCCCCGGCGCAGATCCAAGGAACCCGCGCGGAGCCGCAAAAGTTGTTATGCCTACAGCGTGTGTGTGTTCTCTTCTCCGATGTCAGACGGCCACACGCGAGGGCGGCACCTCCACAGAGTACAGGGCGTACTCCTGGCCCGGCTCCCAGCTGCCGCAGAACCTGGCCTGCAGGACCCCCGCCGCGGACACCACCCGCTGGTCGAAGGGCAGGCCCGCGCGCGCGAGGGCGCCGCCGATCTCGTCCTGGCAGTACCTGTGGTGCTTGGCCTGCACCAGGAAGGCTCTGCCTCCCTGCGGCAGGGCGCGCTTCAAGACGCCCACCAGCAGCTCGGCCTGCCCGGCTTCGTACACCAGGTCGGATCCGATCACCGCCGAGAACCCCTGGCGCTGGAGCAGCTGCTCCACCTTGGGCCTCTCCGCCTTCGACCAGTCGAGCCGGAGAGCCCGACAGGTGTCTGCCACCCCGTTGATCTGGATGTTCTCGCGCGCGGCCTCGAGCAGGGATGGCTCGCGGTCGCTGAGGGCGACCTTGAAGCCGAGCTTCGCCAGCACCAGGCTGCAGAGGCCGAGCCCCGCCCCCAGCTCCAGGACTGGGCCGTGGCCCAGCTGATCGGCGTGCATCGGCGCGAGCCAGCGTGTGAGGACGAGGGCGCCTGCCCACAGTCTCCCACCAGTCAGATGCACCCCCTTCATGTCGAACAGCGACATCGAACGCTGCACCCCAGCCAGATGGACCCACATGGCGTCTGGGGGACGAAACTTCAAGCAGATGTCGTAGGTCGAAGGCCAACCCAACCAATCATCGAGAGGCGCACCGCCTCCCGAATACGCGACCTCGTTCCACGCGTCGATGCACCGCCGCTCGATTTGCTGCGCAACCACTTGTAAATCGGCGCACCCTCCATGACCGTCACGGATATGAAGCGGGAGAAGCTTCCCTGCCACCAGCTGCACGCAGGCGCAAGCGCTGCCCTCCACCAAGGATGACAAGATGCCCAAGGCCTTCCTCTGCAAGATTGCTGGGATGTTTCCCCTGAGCCCGCGAGCAAGGCTAGTGGGCACTCCTAGCACTGCTAACTTCTCCGCATCGCAGAATATATCGGAACCTGGGGAGAACACATCCAGCCAAGGATTCGGCCGAAGAAAGTCTTGGCAATCATCATCCGCCGAGCTAGCGTCGATTAAAATAAGCCTCGTGTCTGTATCCGACCACGGTGGCGACAAGTACTTCAAAAGCTCGTCAGGCAAATCGAGCATATGAAAAGCGCTTCCAAGACCCCACCAGAAGGACCTGTGCAAAGAACCGGACAGGCATGGTTTGAGCCCAAAGGGCTACGGAGCAAGCACACCATGGGGCTGTGGAGGACGACAACGAGGAGGACAACGACGACGACGACGACGACGACGACGACGAGAAGGCACAGGAGATCTCACAGGACAACATGGCAGCACCACAGTGGGCCTCACAGGGATGGGCGTGGGCACCGCTGCTCCGGAGCCAGCTCCCGAGCACAGGCCGAGAGAGAAACGACTACCCATGTTGTCGATCTGCGCACGTCGGCGAGCAGGGCTCGAACAATCTACATGTATAGGCGACTTAAGTAATTTCGGGGATGGACAGACCTCCCTTTAGTAAAACGTGGTTTAGTGAAAACGACCTGAGGCCCAAATCTGGCGGGCGCAGGCCTGGAAAATAACGGCCACGGCGCCCTCTTGAGAACCGAAAGCGGACAATTCACTACTCGACGTGTCACTGTTGGGGGTTCTGTCCACCCCCGATAATTATACGAAGACGAAGCGCCACAAACATCAACTATTGGCGCTCCGCGCAGATTTCTCCAATCTGCGCTGGACCCCGCGCGGGTCCAAGAGATCCGCGCGGAGCGCCAAAAATTTGTGCTGGTGGCGCTGTTTCTTCTTCGAGAAGACGTATAGGCAACTTCATGCTGAAAACTTGGCACGCGGCGCGCAAGCGGCAAGACGCGGCCTGGACCAGGACCCTCCCTTGGCCCTTAACTGGCCCTGGACGGTGCACGCCTTCCTCGGACATGGCAGACTCCTGACCGCGAGCAGGAACACATACGCGCCGTGACTGCTCGGAGCCTCCTCGCACTAGTCAGTGCACCGACCTTGCAGACGTGCTGCAGCGGATTTTTGCGAGGATTCCTGTCAACGCAAAACCCCGAAACGGCAATTGAAAAACGATATGATTTTCGCGTGGGTTTTTGAAAGTCTTCAGTCCTGCCCCCCCCCAAAAAAAAAAAAACAAAAAAAAAAAAAAAACGCACGAACCTCACCTCGAAATCTGGAACGAAATTGCACCAGCAGGGGGCAAGTTGTACTTACCACCCCATGATCCCCTGGGAAGCCCGTTCGCAGTGGTGTGTATTTGCTGGGGGGGGTTGCAAGGGTGACTTGCGACTCAGTCCCCCGAAGCTCGCCTCTGGGGAGGGACGCGGGGGTTGAGCAGAGACCGACTGTCCCAGGAGTTCTACAGGCCTACCACGACATGTTCTTAGAACCACAGAATGTTTTAATAACACAAGCAATGTTCTTAGAACATAAGCCCGATGTGGTAAAACGCGACAGTCCCAGCCAGAAACGTTCTGAGAACACTTCGTGGGAACCACAGAAGGTTCTCAGAACATTGTTTGGTAGGCCTATAGGAACGCCAGGACGCTTCGCCACTGCTTGAGGGGGGGGGGGTACACACTGGGCCCTGCAACGCAGGCTGCTCCAGGCCGTCACCACCCCGAGCGCCGAACGCGCAGCACTAGGCGGAAGGCGACCCGGCGATCGGAGGGGGCGACGGGCTGGAACACCGAGGGGGAGGGACCCTGGCCAACATCAGGTCGGGCACGTCCCCCCAGAGGCGGAACTTAGACGAGAAATCCAAAATCCGCAAAACATGCCAGAACAAATGGTCAACAGTAGTAAAAAACCATCCCCAGACTATTTTTGTGATCACTTTTGGACCAGAGTCTCCCAAGGGGCCCCCAAACTGCCCCAAGACAGCCCAGGAGAGCCCCAAATTGCCCAGAAGGCCTCAAAGAGTGCCTCCAGACGGCGCAAGAAGAGCCCTGGACGGCCCAAGACAGCCTCAAGAGAACCCCAGGCTGTCCCAAGAAAGCCTCTGGCCTCCTCTTCTTCCTCCTCCTCCTCCTCCGCCTCCTCCGCCTCCTCCTCTTCCTCCGCCTCCTCCTCCTCCTCCTCCTCCTCCTCCTCCTCCTCCTCCTCCTCCCCCCCTCTGCTCCCCCTCCTCCTGCTCTCCTCTGCCTCCTTCTCCTCCTCTTGCTTCTCCTCCAAATCCTTCTCCCCCATCCTCCTCCCTCATCCATCTCCTCCAACCTTCCTCCACCTCCCACTCATCCTCCTCCCCCTGCCCCCCCCTTTGTTCTCATCTTCGTCGTTCTCAGGATCGGCGGCACCGGCCGTAAGGCCTTCGCAATCGTCCCCTGACTATTTTTTGGGACTGGTTCTGAACATTCCTCCTGTAGAGGGACACGCCCGATTTAAGGCCAGCATCAGCGCGCTCTCCGCAAAAAGTCGATCCCAGCATCCCGACGACGACGGAGCTCGGAAGACACCTCCCACCGGCGCCCGCGCGCGGTGGAGAGGCGGGGTCCTCGCCGCCGCCCTCGAAGTCGCCCTCCTCGGCCTCGTCGCCGGCGTCGCACATGCCTTCGTCGTCTGAATCGCCGCCCTTGCCCTTGGCCTTGCCCTTCTTGCCCTTGCCCTTGCCCTTCTTGCCCTTGCCCTTCTTGCCCTTGCCCTTGCCCTTGCCGCCCTTGCCGCCCTTGTCGCCGCCCCTGGCGCGCGGAGAGGAGGCTGAGAGGGCTGCCCCCAAAGAGGCGGGCGCCCGACCCTGTCGCTCAGGATGCGGGACGAGGCCCGGAAGATCAGAAGACGAGCCCCAGAATCACGCAGGGGCCAGACCCATCGGCAGAGCGAACCCCGGGATCTAAGTCGGCAGCCCGCAGGACGGGCGAGCGAGGATCAGCAGAACAGGGAACTGCGAAGCACAGGCGCCGCGTGCACAGCAAAGAAGAGAGCTCCCCCTTCTCCTCCTCCTCCTCCGCCTCCTCCTCCTCCTCCTCCTCCTCATCCTCCTCCTCCTCCGCCTCCTCCTGCTCCCACTTCTTCTTATTATTTTTCTTATTATTATTATTATTCTTCTTCTTTTTCTTCTTCTTCTTCTTCTTTTTCTTATTATTATTATTATTATTATTATTATTCTTATTATTCTTCTTCGCCGCCTCCCCCTGCTTCCCCACTCGTCTTCCCTCCTGCCCTCCCGCGCTCCGTGGCCCTGGGGGGAGCTCCACCGAAAGCGGTGCCACGACGCGGTACCCACACATCGTGCGCATGAGCGGGCCCTTCGCCAGGACAGCTGTCCTCTGTTTGGACCTCGTCTCGGCGTGGGTGCTTCCTCGGCTCGTCTCTGTGCTCCCCCTGTCAAAAAGCGGAGCCCCAGACGTCGGCCGTCGGCCGGGGCAGGCGCGTGCTCCAGGCCCCCGGGCGGCCACAAAGGAGGCGCGGGCAGCCCTCGAGCTCACCGCGGGGCCGGGAGCTCGAGCGCCCTCTTCGCACGGGGCGGATGCCGCCTGCACTCCAAGCCGACGGCAATCCAATTCGAGGCGGGAGGGCTCTGGCCCCGGCGCCCCCGAGTCTGACCCACGGCACCGCAGGAGGTCCAGAGCGCCAAGGACCCGGGGCGGGGCCCCAGCAGGGTCTAGCACTCCAGTTTTCAGATCAGCGGGGCCTCGGGCTGGCCATGGCGACAGCTCAGGCCAGACTACCTCAGGGGTGGCCTCAGGTTCCACCCGATCGTAGAGTTAGGTTGGGCATGTCCCCCATACAGGCGGGTTTTGGGCGAACGCATAAAAATACACAAAAAACAAAATGATTAAGAAATACGTAAAGCAAAATCGTCACCTGACTATCAAAAAGACCCCCAATAGTCAAACATACTACAAACATCGTTCCCGACTTAAGCGTAGATGGAGGTAGGAAGGAGAACATCTTCCCGACTTAAGCGTTGATGGAGGTAGGGGGGGCGGCGGAGCGGATGGCACCTGCGTGAGCACGCCCCCCTCCCAAGACGGCCCAGGAGGCGCCCAGGACGACCCAGGAGACCCCAAGAAGGCCCAAGCGAGGTCCAAGACGGCTCCAAGACGACCCAAGAGCCCTCCAAGAGAGCGCAAGGCCGCCCACGAGCGCGTGAAGATGGCCTGAGATGGCCTGAATACGGTCCGAGAAGGTCCCAAGACGGGCGAACAGTCCTTCCAGCGGATTCCTAAGAAGGCCTGAGGAGGCAAAAAATCATTCACTCGGAATGTTGAATTGCTGTTTTGGAGTACTCGCCTTTTCGGACCAAGAACGGCCCAAGAGACCCAAAAATCGCCTCAATAAGGCCTAAGAGGCCCCCAAGAGGGCCCCGATACGGCCCCAAGACGGCCCAAAACGGCCCAAGATGCACAGAGGGCCCCAAGACGGCCCAGGAGGCCCCAAAACGGCCCAAGAGGGCCCCAAGAGAGCCCCAAGATGGCCCCCAAAGGCCCCCCCAAGAGACAAAGCTGCCCAAGATGGCTCAAAAGGGCCCCAGGACGACCCCAGAGGGCCCCAAGACGGCCCAAGGGGGGCACAAAAGATCTCCCAGGAAGGCCCGGAGACGCCAAGCCCAATGAGTTTCGCAAAGCTATTGCTGGATGTGTATTTCATCTCGTGACAAACTCGAAACACGCAAGCTCGAAGTATGGACGGTGGTGCGAGCCCTCGGGCCTCACGACGGCCCAGTGACGGACACAGCTTTGAAGCCAAGGTTCCCAAGACCTCCAGGTGGTGGAAACCCACATGTTCAGGCGAGTCGGTGGCGTAAAAAGGTTTGAATGCCAAGGCTTCCAAAAGCTCCCGATGCGATGAGAAGCTCTGAACGCCAAGTCCCCCGGTACGAGCGGTGACAATGAAAAATAATAGCACATAGGCCCCCGAGAGCTCACAGTGATGTGACAAGCTCTTTAACACCAAGGCTCTCAAGAGTGAACGGGGCCATGAGCCATCTCGGGCTAGTTCCTGATGATGAGGAGGAAGATGATGGTGAGAAGATGATGGTGAGATGATGATGATGATGATGATGATGATGATGATGATGATTTCGATAATGCGGATGATGGTAGTTGTGGTGATGACAATGATAATGATACTGATGATGCTGATGATGATGATGATGCTGGTGATGATGCTGGTGATGATGATGATGATGATGATGATGATGATGATGATGACGATGATGATGATGATTATGATGACGATGGCGATGATGGTGGTGATGATGACTATGATGATGATGACGATTATGATGATAAGTGTCATCTTTGTAAACCTCGTCTGGTAGCATGAGGTAGGCAGAAGGCAGAATACAGCCCCTGGGTGTAACGACTGGGCTGCTCAGGTGTCGGGACTGGGCTGCTCTCCGCCATGGGTTGTAGAGACTGGACTGTCCCGCAAGGTGAACGGAACGTGGGAACTTGACGGCTTCCGTGGGGCCGCCTTGAACCATCTTGGAACACTCCTGGTGCCATGAACCATTTCGGGGCATATCCTCAGTCCGCTCTTTCCGTTCCCGTGCCGGCCCAATTTTCAAACCAACGCGGGTGGAGGGTGGGTCGTGTCGGAACTACAGTCAATCCGTATAATAAGGAAGGGCGCACGATGGGGATGCAAGGGCCTTGAAATGCAATGTCGACACTTTGCGAGAGGGGCGCGGCCAGCGAAAGCGGCCAAGGATGGGTCGAAGGGGAAGGATGCAAGGGTAACCTTGGAAAGTCATTCCTCCTTACTGTGTGGGCTGACTGTACTGCAAGGCATGCATGACAAGGCAAGGCAGGCAGGCATAATGCAGCAGGCGCTGGCCTCTGAATCTCGTCGTCGTCGCCTCCTCGCATGTGCGTGGCCTTGGCCATGCGGACGCGCCACTGGGACGTGCCGTCCAGGTCCGCCATCCCGAAAATCTTTCCCTCGCCGACATGCTTCAGCTGCGTCGCGCCTTAGTGTAAAAAGGTAGCCCCTCCTCTCTCCCCCTTCCCCCTCCACCCCATCCTTGGGCCCAGGCCTTCGACACCGGTCAGAGCTGTGAGAGAACGCGTTTCGTGGACGCTAGCTCGGACAAAAACCCCTCGACGCATTGGAACCGCCCCCCCGCGAGACATTTCGCGCCCCTGGATAGACGCCGGGGGGGGGTGGGCCCACTGGACACCGGCCTCTCTAACCGGCCCTCCCGCCCCCTCTCCAAGGGGCGGGGTGAGGGGTCGAACTGGGCCGCCTTGCGCCGGGGAGGGGGTTAAAACCAGCGGGGAGAAGGGCTCAATTGTAGGGGGCGGGGTTCAAAACGGGGGAGAGGTGCCCCCCCAAACTCTCGAGGGGGCGGAGGGTCCAAATCGGGAGTGGAGGCCCCCCCGCCTGCAACCGACGAATGCGAGCGCCAGCAATGGCGCCGGCACCATCGGGCAGCGACGACGACGATGACGACGACGACGACGAAGTGACGACGACAACGACGACAGCGACGACGACGACGCCGACGCCGACGACAACGACGACGACGACGATGACGACGCCGACGATGACGACAATGACGAAAGTGACGACGACGACGACAATAACGACGGTAACGACGACGCCGCCGAGGACGACGACGCCGACGATGACGCCGACGACGACGATGACGACGACGACAACGACGACGACGACGACGGCGACGGCGACAGCAGCGACGACGAAGGCGACGACGACGACGGCGACGACAACAACACCGACGACGACGATCGATCGTTTCCATCGCTTGCTCACACGCTTGCTCGAGCGAGCGAGCGAGCGACCACGCAAGCACCATGCATTTAATGTTCCGCCCGTCCGACCCGACCCGCCCCCCTCGCTCGCTTGCTCCTTTGCTCGAGCGAGCGAGCGAGCGAGCGAGCGAGCACGCGAGCACCATGCATGCAATTTCCAGCCCACCCGCCCCGCCCCTTCCGATTCGCTCGCTCACTAGCTGGAGCAAGCATGCGAGCGAGCGAGCGAGGGAAAGAGGGAGTCGGTCCTCTCGCGCGCTCGCTCGAGCAATCGAGCGAGAATCGGGCGGGCCGGCCGGGTCGGGCGGGTGGGTGATTAAATACAGGGTGCTCGCTTGTTCGCTTGCTCACTCGCTCGAGCAAGCGCGGGAGCGGCCGAGCGAGCCGGGGGGTGGGCGGGTGATCAAATCCACGGTGCTCGCTTGCTCGCTCGCTCGCTCGCTCGCTCGCTAGCTGGAGCAAGCATGCGAGCGAGCGAGCGAGGGAAGGAGGAAAGCGGCCCTCACGTTCGCTCGCTCTAGCAAGCGAGCGAGAGTCGTGCGGGTCGGGTGAGGTGGGCGGTGCTCGCTTGCTCGCTCGCTTGCTAGCTGGAGCAACAATGCGAGCGAGCGAGTCAAGCGGGTCGGGCAGGCGGAAAACTAAATGCATGGCGTTCGCTTGCTCACTCGCTCGCCTGCTGGCACGAGCAAGCGAGCGAGCGAGCGAGTCGGGCGGATCGGGTCGGGCGGGCGGGACATTGGATGCATGGTGCTCGCTTGCTGGCTCGATCGCTCGAGCAAGCGAGCGAGCGAGCGAGCGAGGGGGGCGGGACGGGTCGGGCGGGAGGAGCATAAATGCATGGTGCTCGCTCGCTCGCTCGCTCGAGCAAGCAAGCGAGCGAGCGAGCGCGGGAAAAGATAGATCGTCGTCGTCGGCGTCGGCGTCGTAGTCGGCGTCGGTGTGTTCGTCGTCGTCGTCGCCGTCGTCGTCATCGGCGTCACAATCGTCGTCGTCGTGGGCGTCGGCGTCGTCGGCGTCATCACCTTCGCCGTTGTCGTGGCCAGCGGCATCGTCACATTCGTCGTCGTCGTTGTCGTCGTCGTCGTCTCGTCCCCTCGTCGTCGTAGTCGTCGACCTCGTCGTCGTCGTCGTCGTCGTCATCGTCGGCGTCATCGTCGGCGTCTTCGTCATCGTCGTCGGCGTCGTCGTCGCCGTCGGCGTCATAATGTTCGTCGTCGTCGCCGTCGGCGTCTTCGTCGTCGTCGACTTGTCGTCGTCGCCGTCGTCACCTTCGTCGTCGTCGTCGTCGTCGGCGTCGTCGTCGTCGTCGTCGCCCGACGGCGCCGGCGACGGCGCCGGCGCTCGAGGTGGTCGGTTGCAGGGGGGAGATAGAGGGGGTTCGAACCCACCCCTACAATTCGGAGGGGGACCCACTTCAAACCACCCCACCGTTGCGAGAGGGGGTGATGGGCCCCTCCGCCATTTCGACACCCCCCCACCCCTCCAATTGAGGAGGGGTGCCCCCTTCCTTGCCCAAGGCCCCCCACCCCAGTTCGAACCCCCCGGTTCGAACCCCTCCACCTTCCCGACGTCCACAGCACGCGCTCCTTCAGGGCTGTCGACCCCGTTCCCCGGGTCTGGCGGTTCAGCCTGAATGGCTGTTTGATGGTCTCGGAGCCAAGACGGGCCTCTGGAGGCCTGGCGTCGCGAAAAGGTCGTCGGTGTCGGGAACGACGACGACGACGACATCTCCTTCTTATGTAGGGCTTCCTGAAGCCAGCATCCCTTTTCAACTGAAGACTTCGGTCTTTGGCAAGACCTTATCCGAGATATCACGATCGACGGAATCAGAAACCTCGGACTTCAGAAGCCGCTCCAGCGAGACAGGACAGTTACCTGGAGGCGGCAGCGAGAGCCGGGGGACGCCCATCGCCTCCGCCTTGGTCGACAGCATGCCGTCGTAGGACAGAGCAGCTTGGAGCTCCTGCAGGGCTGCCAAAGGCTGGAGGTCGCCCGGCGGGGGGCCCAGCTGGGAGACGGCGTCCACGATGCGCGCCAGGCAGCGATGCTGCGCCAGCGTCGCGTCGCCAAGCGGCAGCGAGCGGCCCTGCCCCCCCAGCGCCGCTGAAGGCGTTGGGCGACTCCACCGCCTGCCTGACGAGCCGCGGCGCGGAAGCGGCGCGGCGCGCCCGCCTCCGCATGCAGCGCGAGGCCCGCCCCTCAGCCAGTCCGCCGGGGTCAGCGACAGCAGGCATCGGCAGCGGAAAGATGTCCCGCTGCCGCTCCGCGCCCGCGCCACCGCGCCTGTTATGAACATCCTCAGCGGCGCAGGCGCCCGCCGAGGTAGGCCCAGTTCCCGCGGCACCTGGAGAGGCTGGGCCAGCACACCCCTCGAGGCAACGTGCTGCAGCGAAAAGAATGGATCCACCACCTCCCCCGCGGACTCGGTGACAGAGTTCCAGCTGCGCGGGCCCACGCTGCCAGGGAGGCGAGCCGTGGTCCGCGGGCCGGCCCCGCGTCACTTCGAGGTGAAGTCAGCCTGCCTCCAGTTCTCGAGGACGAAGGCCACCGCCGACACGCCAGCGCCAAGCGCGAGGACGCCGCCTGCCGGCCCCCGCCGCCAGCACGATGCCCGAGATCGGACCGACCTGCGCCGCCGTGCCGAAGCAGAACGACTCGACGTCCTCGGCCACCACCCGCGCCCAGCCCGCGGGGGCCTCGCCGTTGGGGCCGAGAGGCGGCCCTCCGTCGTTCTTCCGGCGCGCCAACGGCGGGAGGGGCCCCCGCCGCGATGGGGCCCCCAGCGGCGGCTGCGGGCGGCGGGGCCGCGGCTGGGGGGGCGCCCAGCGGCGCGACGGCGGCAGCGCCGACGGCAGGCGGCGGCGCCCCAGCCACCAAAGCCACCGCTGCAGGCCCCCCAGCGGCTGGCACGGCGGCTGGCACCGCCGCCGCGGGCGCGGCCGCCCCTGGCAGCAGCCCGCTGTTCATCGGGAGGAACGCCCCTCCCGCAGGTAGCGGAATTCCAGGGTGCCGCCGCGGGAACTCGGCGTCCGCCTCGGCGAGCGCCGCGGCGAGCCAGGCAGCCTCGCGAGCCGCCGACGGCGCCCTCCCGAACCTGTACGTCGACTCGGGAGCGATCCCCGGAGGGGGCGGCCACTTCTCCGCCGAGAAGCGCACCGCGGCGATGTCCGGCACCGCAGCCAGCAACCTCTCCGCGTAGACCATGTCGTCGGGCGTGACGATGACGACGTCATCCGTGAGCGTCAATTGCCCCGCCACCCTCCTCTGGTGGAAGAGCGGCGCGCCGGCCACGTTGTACAGCACCCAGGCCCACGTTTCCGCCATCAGTGACCGTCGCCAGCGCCAAGCGCAAGGGAGCCCCTCCAGCCGGCGCCGCGACCTTGCCCTGCGGCTCGGCGGTGAAGCGGAGCGGCCCCTAAAGGCGCAGCGCCGCCATCGCGCCCAGGGCGCCGAACGCGGCGCCGGCAAGGCCTGCGGCCAGGCAGGCGAAGGCCACCGAGCTCGCGGTGGCGCCCACGGTCGCCCCAGGGCACGGCGGACAGGACGGGCACGCGGGGCAGGGCGGAACGTCGATCGCCGGGAAGCGTGCCACCCAGGCCTGCAGCGCGGGCACCCCCCAGCGGTCCAGAACTCCCAGCAAGCCCTCCGGGAGGCCCAGCAAGGGCATACGCCGCGGCCCACCGCGGCGCTCAGCTCGAGAGCCGAAGGCTACGGAAAGCAAGCTTTCGGCCTCTCCCACTCCCTCGAAAGGCACTCAACTGCAATAAAAAAGACCACAGTCAGCATCATCATCATCATCATCATCATCATCATCATCATCATCATCATCATCATCATCATCATCATCATCATCATCATCATCATCATCATCATCATCATCATCATCATCATCATCATCATCATCATCATCATCATCATCATCATCATCATCATCATCATCATCATCACATCATCATCATCATCATCATCATCATGCATCATCATCATCATCATCATCATCATCATCATCATCATCATCATCATCATCATCATCATCATCATCATCATTATCGTCAGGCCAATCATCAACAGCATCAGCACCATCATCAGAAATGTCATTCTCACCCTCACCCTCATCGCGGCCCGTCCACCCTCGAGCAGTCGCCAGCCAGAATGCTGGGCTGGCACGGTTGCGGGTGCTGTCGCAGGCAGCTGGGTAGAGGTGCTCCGTGCTACGAATTGCGTCTAGGAAAACCCTGTCAGGGTTTCTGCACGCGCGCAAGTTCTCTGCACGCACCATCAGCGCACCACCATCATCATCATCATCATCATCATCATCAGCAGCATCATCATCAACATCTGCACCACCATCATCATCATCAGCAGCACCACCACCATCATCATCATCATCATCATCATCATCATCATCATCATCATCATCATCATCATCATCATCATCATCATCATCATCATCATCATCATCATCATCATCATCATCATCATCGCCAGCGCCATCATTTCCACCGTCACCATCACCACCGTGGTCATCGCCACGCCGTCATCCACGTCGTCTGCATCGTCCGCGTCCTTGTCGTCACCTCCGATATCGTCGCTAAAACTGTCACCATCAGCAACATCATCATCGCCGACGTCGTCGCCACCATCATCCATCGCCCACCACCGAGGCCATGGATCTTCCAGAGCACGGTCCACGCGCCATTGCGCCCACTGGCATGTGCGCATAAGTCCCGATGGGTAGCTGCACGCACGGCCTCTCGAGGTTTGCCAACAAATTGCGGGCGGGTGGGTGGGACGTGTGTTCGAGCACGGGAGGTGTTCACGCGCCAATGCACACAGCTAAGTGCACCATACAAGAGGTGCCGCATCGGCTGCCCCACATGGATGGCGCCGCAGATGCTGCACCACGAAGACTACATTCCAAAAGTTGCACAGCACGTGCTGCGCCGCATGACGTGCACCCCAATTATTTGACCAAGCAGATTGCATCGCATAGTGCGCACCAAGTTATACACAAATGGGCGATATCGGAAACCCTGAACACAAAAACGTGTTCGTCTCTTGGGGGCGCATCCTTTACTTCCGCCGCCTTCTGCCGCCCTTCCGCCGGGAGGCGGCCTCGTTTTACTTCCGACGACCTTCCGCCGCCCTTCCGCCTCCTTCCGTGGCGGAAGAGATGACAACTCCTTCTATCCTCGAAGGCAAAGTCCTCTTTGGAACGCCTCATATATATATATATATATATATATATATATATATGCGTGTGTTGCGACGTATGGATTGCACCATGCACGGAACGCACTGCGAAGAGTGCACATCCAGCTCACTGTTTGGAGATGGAGTTGACAATTCGGGGGCCGAGCTCTCGAACCACTGTGATGAATCATCGCAGGCATTACAAGCTTCTGACCAGCATCTCGAGGCAGGCCCAGCCGTGGTGGCGAGGCTGCCGCGGGAGATCTACAGAGGCCCGACGACCTCCAAAACACCTGGACCCTCATCCGAGAACGCACGACCTCGTCCTGAGGAGCCCGCCTGCGGACGTTGGCGGCGCGCACAAGGGGGTAGAGGGAGGGGGGAGGGCTTCTTAGAAGGAGGCTGCTTCTTGGAAGGCGCCGGCCTTACATCTATAGAGAAGGCCCGCGCCTTCTAGGAAGCAGGGGTGCTTCTAAGAAGCCCTCCCCCCTCCCCCCACTCCCCTCTGCGCGTGGCTGAGTACGAACACAGATGGGTACGATGCCCAAGAGCACATGGCGGATTTCGGAAGCCCTGAACCCAACAACGTTTTCATCTCTTGTCGGGTCGGGCGAAAGGGGGGGATAGCAAAGGGGGGTTGAGAATCAGCTCACGTAGCTGATTTTCCCGGCGCCTCCTGGCGCCGGAGGTGGCTGTGTATCGAGGAGTGGGCCCCTCGGCGAGGCCGAAACCAGCTGCATGCAGCAAATTTCGTAGCCCCCCCTTTCCCAATTCCCCCCCTTTCGCCCGGCCCGATGTTCGCGTGGTGAACACAGCCCTGCGCGACTCTTCCTCCAAGGCCCCCTGGCCGGTTCGGCATCGCTTCGTCCGAATTTTTCAAGTCGTCCACTCCGTGTCGTCCGCTTCGACTCGTCCACTTCGATTTGTCTTTGCTTCGGCCCGATCTTGGTTGCGCACTCTTGATTTCCGCCGCCTTCCGCCGAGCTTCCGCCGGGCCTTCCGCAGGCGGAGGCGGCCTCGTGACACGTCCGCCGACCTGCCGCCGCCCTTTCCGCCGCCTTCCGCGGCGGAAGAGACGACAACTCTTTCTACCCCGGATTCCACAATAAAGTGGTGGGGGTCACATTTGGGGGGGGGTCTGACTTGAGCTGCCTTGAGGGTTCGGGGGGGTCTGGGCAAAGGGCCGCCCTCTGATGGATAGTCTGGGGGGTCTCAAACTTCTCGTCTGGGAGGGTTGAGACCCCCTCCCTTTAGTTACGAAATCTGGAGTACCCTCGAAGGCAAGGCGTTGTTCGGAAGACCTCGCATGTTGCCCAGAGCCGGCAGGGGTCGCTGCTGGACGGGCGCTCTGCCGCCTCGGACGGGCAGCGTCCGCGGCAGCGCCGACCGCGAGCGCCGTTCAACATGGACAGGGGCTGCTGCCAGTCTTCGCCCCCATTCTCTCCGTACCAGCTTCGATCGTGTCTACGTGAGGCGCCAAGCGGACAGCTCCCGTCCCAGATCCAATCCCACAAGCCCTCTGGGCATAGGCGGTCTAGCGATGACTTTCCTTTCCCCTTCCAAGCCTCTCCTCCCTTCGTGGAGGGGCGCATTCCCCCTCCCCTCACAGAGGTTCTGCTTGGAGGGGGCCGCGAGCGGTCAGGGCGCCCAAGATGCCCCAAGGTGGCGCCAAGAGGGCCTCCGGTCCTGAAAGATGGCCTCCAAGATGGCGCAGGATAGCCGAAGATGGCTCAATGTGGCTTCCAACATGCCTCCCCGAGACCCCGTGAGGGTCACAAGACGGTTCCAGGTGCTCTCCGAGCCCCCCAGGATCCCCCCGAGAGCCAAACATCCTTCAGCAACCGAAAAAACGTCAATGATTTGTGTCTTCGCGCCCTTTCGCCTCCGATGCGCTTCTGAGGCCTCGAGATGAAACCAACAAATGCCCAAGAGAGCCCCAGGACGGGCCCAACGCGCCACAGGAGCGCCCAAGATCGGCCCTGCAGCGACCCAAGAGGCGAGTTCGATGGCCCGAGAAGGGGGGGGAAATCGAGGACCCCCCCTCCTTTGATCGACGCCCGACAAGATGGCCACAAGAGGCATCACGGGCCCCCAAGGGGGGCCCCAAAAAAGCTCCAAGAGGGGCCCAAGATGACCTCAAATCGACCCCAAGAGCGCCCAAAAACGCCCCAAGAGCGTCCCACGAAGGCCACAAGAGGCGGCCAGCCTCCTCCTCCTCCTCCTCCTCCTCCTCCTCCTCCTCCTCCTCCTCCTCGTCCTCCTCCTCTTCCTCCCCCTCCCGGCCCCTCCACGCGGGCCCCAAGGATGGCCCGAATAGGCCCTCGAATGCCCCCGCTTGCTCCCAGAGATCTCTCTGCTCATCCTGGTTACCCGATAGTGTTTCACCATATGTGTCGCTTCGTCCCTTTCCCTGTCAGCTGTCATGGGCATGGCATGGTTTCCGAACGGGCTGGTCGAGATACGCGAAACGTGAAGATTTCGATGGCATACTCCCCCGCCCCACGCGACCCTCGCACTGCAAGGCTAGGGCGAGGTCCACTCCCCTCGGCGGTGAGAGGGCCGATGGCGGTCGGCTCGTCCCGCTTGCCGCGATCGAGCTTCTGCCTTTTGGCCTGCTCGGCGTAGAAGGCGCTCATGGTCGCCTTCATGGCGGCCTCCTGTCGACGTGACCACGACGCCGACGTCGTCCCTCCTCCCCCCGATTCCTGGTTCCTGGTGGCTGCAGGGCTCGTCGAGCGCAGCCTCTCCCCAGGGCCCGTCGGCCCTGGGGGGGGAGGGGTAAGGTCGGCCAGGCCAGAGCGGCGGCGCAGCGCGGGATTTGGGCGATGGGGCTGAGCGGTGGCGCGCACTGCCGAGGTGGGCGCGAAGTGCAGCGGCGATGCGTGAGCAGGCGCGCCAGTGGTCAGCCATCCTCGCCAAGGCGGAAGGCGCAAGGGCCTCTCCCCCTGCACATAGGACCCCCCCCCGATGGGCCTGTTTTCCACCACCACCAACATAAGTTGGAGGGGGAGGGGGCACTCCTCCTCCTCCTCCTCCTCCTCCTCCTCCTCCTCCTCCTCCTTCTCCTCCTCCTCCTCCTCCTACACCTCCTCCTCCTCCTACACCTCCTCATCCTCCTCCTCCTCGTCCTCCTCCTCCTCCTCCCCCTCCTCCTCCTCCTCCTCCTCCTCCTCCTCCTCCTCCTCCTCCTCCTCCTCCTCCTCCTCCTCCCCCCCAACTGATGGTGATGGTGGTGGGGCACAGGCCCATCACCCCCGAAGCGCCCACCAGTCCAGCGGCGAGAGGGACGACATTGCCTTGTGCGGTTCCTCCCAAATGCTGCTGGCGACCGCGTGGCATCGGAGGCTTGCAAGAGAAGCCTGACATACCACGCTTCGACATGGGAGCTAATCGGAACGGAGCGGCAAAAGGTGTGGGAGGCAGGGGGAAAAAGGTGGGAGAGGCTTTTTGAAGGATGCATCTCACTCTAGGCTCAATACCTGGACGTCTGAAATCGCATGAGCTGCGGGGGACCTCAGCACTTGCCCTCTGGTCTCCTAGCCGAAGCATCGGCTTGGAATATGTGCAACCGCTGGAAGCCGCAAATAAACAGCCTGTTCTCAAGGTCACATTCGCCCCCTGTGGGTTCCAACCACGATCCTGGATCTGGTCCAAGAACTCCTTGAAATGATGCCGCACGAATTGGGCCTCAAAACCAAATGATGCAGAATCGGAGGTCCCAATAAACCGGGCACCCAGAAGTGGACCCTGGTTGAGGAGATTGCTCGCGGCATTCAACCTTCGCCAACGGCGGGGCGGCTGAACGATAGTTGTTGTCATCGGGGTCTGGACCATCGGAGTCTAGGTCCTGACGACCACGAAACAAAGGGGAAACACTGAAGGGAATCAAAGCCACAGGCTGCAAGCCCGCCAGAACCGGAAGTCACTAAAAAGACCGTTCAGGCGACCTCGCCCTTACCATTCGACTGCTCAATGGCTAAATGGAGCATCACCTTGACCGACTAAATCGTCGTGGTCATATTGCCGCTGCCACTGCATCGACCAGGCCGGTTCTTAGTGCGTGAAAGAAACAGCGACTCGTATATGATTCACCTTGCCTAGCTGCAGCGCTTTGCCATTGAACATGTGGTATCGCCGTTGCAAAGCCATGATGAGAACACAACCCAAGTTGCCAAGGACACGCAATGGCGGGCGGCCGTAAGTGAAACATCAATGCCGTAATTCTGACAGTGCTAGGGCAACTTGAAGGAGGTGGTAGGGGAGGAGGAGGAGGAGGAGGAGAAGGAGGAGGAGAAGGAAGAGGAAAACGAATACGAATACAATTCAAAAAGCGGGCCGCATCGACTCGTCGGAACATCAAAACCAAATGGAATCGTGCTGGCCAGAACCGATATCGAATCGGATTGATCGCATTGGTAAATCTTTGGGTTGCGCCCCAAAAAACCTGGGCAGTCCTGGTCAGCCTCAACAGGCACCCCCAACTATTCTGGGGCGGTCTCAACACCCTGGCGCCACCTCCGACGGCACCCCTGGGGCGCTCCGCGCACCATGTCTGTGGTGTCGAGACCGCCACTGGCTACACGGGGGTCTGTTGCAGCCAGCTGGGACTTCTCAAGGGGGGTCAGTGGAGGCCAGCCGGGACTACATGGAAGGGCTGTTTGCGCGCAGCCCGAAACCTTACCAATTCGCATTGACATGCGCCCCGTGACGACGACGAAGACGATAACTCCTCCGGGCCAAGCTCCGCCGTCAGCTCGCGCTTGGCGGGCGCGGCCACCGAGGGCCGCAAGTGCTCGGGCACCTCGAAGGGGCCCCATCCAGAAGGCCCCTCCGCTCCCTCTTCCTTCAACTTCCCTCGTCTCTGGAAGTATGATACGAGCCTTTTCACTGGAAGCAGATCGAACTTGCACCAACTTGTTCCAGCACGGTCTGGGTCCGCCAGAAGTGAAGTTTCACGCTTGAATGTGTTCGCAGTGGTTCGGGGCTGTGAGACAACATGCCTAACAAGTCCTGGACTGTCAATCTCAATCCTGTTCACCCAGTCCTGAACTTAATATATCAATCCTTGTCAATACCTCAATATTGCTCACCCCAGATCGGCTGACCATCCAAACTTGCAAACGGGTGATCTAAATATATATGAACAACAACAAAAACGACTGGGTAATGGGTGGGTTCTAAACAAGTAGGCAGCGCAACTGGCGAAACAACAATATATGAAATGGCATAAACCGGGGTCTCAACATGAAGCAACCAAACAGCAGATCAGGTGCAAACAGAAGGCGGATATGATGTGGGCTAAACTTGCAAAAGGGTTCATAACACGCGATGCAATATCATATTCAGGTGCGGCAGAACACCGGAACATGTAGCGTGGTTACCATGTTCGGTAGTGTAGGTTTGAAATCGCATGGACGAACATTTGGCTTTCAAGTGGTCCTGAGCTCAAGTCTCGGGCGCAACGGCCTTCGAAGATAACTAGTATATGATTTACATTAACCTAACACCCCGTGGCTGGCGCCAGCTCGTGTCTTCCGTTCGCCAGATGCTGGTTGGTGCCTCGCATTTGCATAATCGGACTGACTCGGTCCACGTACTTGGCCAACTCAACTGAACGAGTTGCGTGAGATTCCACTTTAGTCCCCTTGATGCCCCCGGCGAAGTTCTCTTGCAACCAGAGTTGGCACACTTAAGCGCGCCTTACGTGTATTACACCTGACCTGCTCGCAATGGCAATGGTTGCACGAGCATCGCTTTTAACGATATGTCAAATCCATCTCGAAGTCCTTGATGACTGCTTGCGCTCCTAGCGTTACTGAGGCGCCTTTCATCATTCAGAAGCACCCCGCCTCGCCCGACGATAGGGCCACCACAGTCTGACTTGCACTCCACGACGTTATAATACGTGATCCCACATCACCGTACCTCCGCTCGTCGATGTTCGTGTGATCTTGCATCCTGCGCAATCGGTGTCCGTATGTGCAGTATCCTCCCTGGGGCGTGTTTGATACAAATACTGATACCCGCACATGCTGTGGTTATTGAAATACTTGCCAAATTTGGTAAACAGTGTCCACGCCCCTTGTGGTGGGGACGACATGGAACGTGCCAGTTCCTTTAAATGGAAACTTGTACATCCGAGCGGCCCTGCGCTAAGAATCTGATTAGGCCGCGGTGGCTTGGCTTGGTATGTCTTAGTTTCGTGATTTGGCAATGGCTCCTCGTCAAGGTAACCCTGCGATGAGTATTTCACACCTCAGTTTGTTTTGTTCCAGACCTAATTCTATGTCGAATAGATCAGCATGCCGTTGACCCGCCTCATACCATAATCCGTCCCGGTTCCACTCCACAGTCCAGCTCAGAATCCGGATTGACTTCAAGTCTATCGGTCCGGGTCCGAATCTGCCCAGGATTTGCACCTCTGATGTACTTTTGAATTCTCCGTCGACCCAATCAAAATCAACATGATGGTCCAATGCAATAAAATCATCCCCATGGACCGTTCGCCAGATTCGCATCGTCGTACGTTGGAACTCATTGCGGCGCCCTGCCGCTATCAAATCCGACGTCAAGTGTAAAGCCCATGCAACAGTCCTCCCAATTAAAGGCGGCGCCCCTGGTGCCGTTCACTGGCCTTTCATGGTCTTCCACACATGCCTGGCTCACGATCTTCGTAGGGTAGCCTGATGAGTATGTATCTCCTTGAGGTAAGAGTATGCGTTCGACATCTATGAGAGAGCGTGATCCACCGCCGCTTTACTGAAATTGCCAACCTTTTCCTCCGGAACCCGGGGTCTCCCCCCCCCCCCCCCCCCCGAAAATCCCCCCCCCCTGCTGGACCCCTCCCCCCCCCCCCCCTCCCTCCCGGCCAAACCCCCCCCCCTCCCCTAACCCCCCTCCCCCCCCCCCCCCCTCGAAAACCGGGGGGGGTCACTACCGGTTCGAAACCCCTCCCCCCCCCCCCCCTCCGGATCCGGAAAACCGGGGGGGGTCACTACCGGTTGGAACCCCCCCCCCCCTCGAAAACCGGAGGGGGGTCACTACCGGTTCGACCCCCCCCCCACGCACCGCCAGCAAACGACTCCCGGTCCCTACCACCGCTCGCATGACATCCCCCACTGTTGTTCCCAGCACCACTGTCCTCACCACCACTGCCCCCGCTGGTTCCACCACCGTCCCTATTGTCCCCACCAGTGCCCCCACCACTGTCGCACTGTCCCCACTGTTCCCACAACTGTTCCCACCACGGTTCCACTCTCCCCACTGTCTCCACGGACCCAACCACTGCCTATCCCCACTGTCCCCACTGTCCCACTGACTCCTCCGCTGTCCCACTGAGCTGTCCCACTGTTCCCACCACTGTCCCCACTGTCCCCACCACTGTCCCCACTGTACCTCTGTCCCATTGTCCCACCGCCGTCCTCGCCACGCCTTTACCAGTGTCCCCACCACCATTGTACCCTCCACTGTCCCAGTGTTTCCACCTCATTCCCACTGTCCCCACACCACTGTCCCCACCACCACCGTTCCCACCACTGTCCACTGTCCCCCCTGTTCCCACCATTGTCCCCACCACTGTCCCCACACTACCCTCCCCACCGCTGTCCCACTGTCCCCCCACTGTCCCCACCACTGTCCCGCTGTCCCCTCACCACTGTCCCCACCAACACCGTCCCCACCACTGTCCGCACCCCCACTCGGTTTTCGAGGGGGGGGGGGGGGTTCGAACCGGTAGTGACCCCCCCCCCTTTTCATGATGAGCTGGGGGGGGGGGGGGGGGGGTTCGAACCGGTAGTGACCCCCCCCCGGGGGGGGGGGGGGGAGGGGTTCGAACCGGTAGTGACCCCCCCCGGTTTTCCGCCAGCAGCGGTAGAACACGCTCTTTCACATCTATGAACCAAAGTGTGAATCCTTTCACACACACACCCTGGGCATTCCCAACTCCCCTGGTAACAGCCATAGAGAAGAGCAGTTTTGAAGCGTCCAATGGTGGCGTGTGGCTGCAAATATGTTATGTTCTGCGAGTTGTTACTTAATTTGCAGAGGCGCCAGACGGGATCGATACTCGTCGCCCCTTTGTTAATATCGATCCACTTCGTACCTATAGGCGTCTTGCCGGTAACAGCGCGGCATTCCTTCTCCTTTACTTTATGATGGACCTCGCGTGTCTCAAACCACCCGATGACCGTCACGACGAACTACCCAGATTGCCTCCCTGGTAACTGGACTCATTTCTGCAATACTTTCACATGCATCGCACGTTCCTGGAATGTTCGACCATCCCTGGTGTCGACATACTCCACAGATCCACTGGTGAGGATAGATGTCTTGTATAACTTGGTAGGTACAGCTGGTGGCGATATGGCGAGCTCCTCACCTGAAATCCCTCCTCCGTTCCTTCCCCTTGATCACGCGAAGCCCCGTG